TCTGGAGATATCCAGCCCAAAGCTTGCAGGAATGGAGAAAGGCTGATGATAATAAATTCCAAACCTGTGAATGAGCCTTTCTAATGGCTTCATTAAATGTAAATAACACACTGAAGATGGAATGTTAGGGAACCCCACAGATAATTCAGTGTCTCCTAGTATCACTTTCTGGTGGGACCTCAGAGAAATGGCACTTCTACTCATACCTCCCTAAAATGTTCCAGTGAGATACCGTGTCAGTGGTATCAAAAGCTGCTGAGAGATTCAGCAGTATCAAATCCAGGCTTTTTGGCAGATACCTAAATTGAAGGTGATTTTTTTTCCAAGCAAGATTCTTTAGTTCTCTTTAGCAAGATTTATTGAAACAAGAAGGATGGGGTTACAAGAATTGCAGCAACTGAACTGTTTTCTACAGATAATTCTCATTATTCACAGTAGTTGTTCTTTGAAAATGCTGCAAATACCACATTAGCGAATGCTGAAACCTCAGCTGGGAGCGTGTGCGTCAGGCAATTCCAATGTTTTGATGCTCTGCATGTCTGCGAATGAGCATGACAGTGCTGTGAGTACTGATTTTGGGGTTATAAAGATATTTTCGCAAATAAGCGAATTCACAAATATGGAACCTGCAAATAACGAGGATTGCCTGTATTTAGAATCAATATATCCAAAGTATTAGGGTGGTGGCTTCTTGATTTTTTTTTAACATCCTTCCTATGATCTGGCAAAGAAGTGAGTCTTTTGCTGGTAACAGAGAAACTTACATCTGCTTATTTACATAACAGTGTCCTGAATTTTAGTTCGTCTGGAAGCCAACCATTGCAATAAATAGGGTTGCGCTCTCCCTTTCTTACTCTCAGGGTGAGCGTGGTCATCTCTGTGCCCAATTCAGATCTAAATTTAATCTGAAAGAGATCAGGTTAATCTGTTTCATCCATGGGCTTCTGGACCTCCAGCATGACCACCTTCTCCACCAGCTTGCTTAATGTTGAGATGGAATTGATGAGATTTTTATTGTGCTACTGTGGTTTACTGTATATCCAGAGTCTTGTGAGTGGGTGATATACATATGCTGGAAATAAATAAATATGAGCATTGGGCAATAGTTATTCTAATCAGTTGAATCCAAAGACAGTTTCTTAAGTAGGAATCTTAAGAAATGAGGAGTTCTGCAAAAATGGAGAACCGTTGGCTATATAAACCTTTAGAGGCCCTTGTAAGCCAAGCCAGAGATGGGCCCAACATACAAGTAATGATACTAACAGGCCACTTGGGAAACTGTAAACTGGATTTATATAGCCCATGGGTTGGAACTGTCAACGCTTTTTACCTCTTCAACCCCCTGCCCTCTCCCCCACCCCAATGATGGAATGCCTATTAGACCTTGGAATACAGAAAAGTAGCAAGACAAGGGAGAAAACAAGGCCATTCCATAAATGATTTTAGAGTCCAGAGGAGAGGGGAAGCAGGTTCTGATTGATGGGGGAGAGAATATGGGGCGGAGTGTATTCTGGATTCTAGATGCAGGAGGGGATCTTAGAATATTTCATTCATTGGAAGGACTACCCTGACACAGGAAGATTATGGAAAGTGGCGGTGGATGTATACGTATCCCAACTTGTTCACCAGTTCCATCTGAAATTTCCATTCATGTCTCTTCCCCGTTGAACTGCCTCCTGCCACGCCAGCCTTTAAGCGCCAGGAAGAAGAGGGCTCTGTGTTCCTTACCATGCCTGTCTTGCAAGTTGGTGTTTCAAACTCAGATGTTGAACAGGGGAGGGAGGGTTGCATTGCAGCTTCGCTGAGGTATTTCAGACTTTTCAAAGCTGCTGACTTTGGTAATGGGTGGTCTGAAAATATGTGTAATAAAAAAAGTTGTCAAAAATTGCCCCTCCCTACTCTGATGATGAGGATCCTGGAGGAAAATCTGTCCATGTGACACTACGGATAGAGTTGACACCGACTTGAAGGCATATAATCACTCTGATGATGTCATGCCATCTTGGGAGCCAAACAAATGTGTCCCTCGGCTACAAGAAAATTGAGATAGGCCTTAATCTTTTAGGGATGTTAAAGTGTTTCATTTATCTTTATCTTTCCAGACTTCTGAAGTGTGGTGGCCAAACATGTGAAAGGGTGCAGTTTTGGGCATCCAGTAACCTGAGACCATCTCTTTGCATCCTAATCTTACATGGAATGTTTTCCTATTTCAGAAAGTTTATGCGGGTAGAATTTAAAAAAAGTTGAGTTTTAATTTTGGGGGGTGGGCAGTTCTTTAATACTTTTCATATCCCTGTGGTGGGATATTGTTTTTATCTGAATGTTAGAGGTGTGAGTTTTCTTACAGGAGTTTCAGAAATGGAAAGATGAGACAAAATGTTTAAAAAATGAATAAATATTGGATATTGAAGCTGCAGAAGGCTGGATTGTAGCCCCAAGTCATGCCAGAGCAACCGCCATAAGCAGTAAGCAATGCTGGGTAAATCTTACATACCTTGTAAGATGATCAAAGTAAGATATTGTAGGTAACGCCTGTTTGACAAGCGGGATTCTGTATCATCTCTGTGTTTTACTTAGCATAGGCAAGGATTAGATGGTTAAATAATGACGCTAGTCAGGAAAGTTGCTCTGCAGTGAGATGGACGGGGACAAATTTGAAATATAAATAAATAAAAATAAATAAAAAGGTGGCATGGTGCGAAAAACTAGCCTTCTTACCTATATATTGCCTCGGTCAACAGCTTTTGGGGTGGGTTGCCGAGATATCTTTATTTCAATCTCTTTTCATTCATAGAAGGATAAACCACATTTTGGAGAAGGAAGGGGGGAAGATAGAGTTGTAGTCTCTACCACTGGGAAGAAATGCTTGAAGAAACCAAACTGTTGAAGACCACAGCTGGACGTGGCACGTGCTTTTCAAGTATCCTTGTCCTTCCCATGAATTGCAGAATAGCTTTACGCAACTTGTTTTGTTTGTTTAACTACTCAGGGCCAACGTCAGTTGGACTTGTTTTTGGTGATGTGTGAGATTGGGTTATCGTAGCGTCAGTGGTTATTTTCAATAGGGGGTTGCTCGTGAGTCCGATCAGAAAATAACTTTTTTCCCAGTGCCTCTTCAGTTTGCTCCTGCAGTTACTAGTCTGGCGTGTGCTCTTAAATCAGCAGATTTATGCATTCTGGGAGGGAAGCTGTCTTACCAGCTGCTTCGGCAAACCACCAAAGAGAGAATCTTCCAGCCTGGGGCTTTCAAAAAAATTTCTGACTTTTTTTTTTTTGTGGTATACAGTTCTCAAAACCTGGAGCTGAATGCAGCTTTCAGATGTAGCCTGGAAGCCCACTTTCTAAGGGTTGATTCTGTTTGTTGGCGTTCCCAGTTTGAGGAAAGTTGGTTGAATCTTGTAATTCGTGGATTATCTTCACCACTTGGTTGATGAGAGCAGCGTTCTGATTTTGCAGGACGAGCTCTGTGCCTCCCCATTACATAACCAGTAGATCTTTATACTCTCTTCCCTCCTCCAAAGCTTGCGCGTATTCTTTTTTTTCTTCTTTCAGCCTGTAGCATTTCTCTGTCCCTGCCTGCCGCCGAGTGTGCGCATGGAGTGAGATAGGCAGTTTGGTGTGGAAGCAAAAAAAAGCAGGGGGACAAAGGTTAAAAATGCAAAGCAGTTGATAGGAGAAAAAAAAATCCAGCTTATTTTGGGGGAAGGAGGGCAACACGAAAAACTAGTTTTAGGCAGCTGCTTTGGGTCTAACGTCGCTGGGTCTAGCATCTAAACTTGGAAGACACCTTTGCTTTCCTCAGCCACCATGGATGAACCCACAGAAGAAAACGGAGGGATGAGATATCATATGCTTCAGAGGTAGCAGATTGGCAGCAGCTACGTTTCGGATCTGGTTTCTGATAGATCGTTTCTGGGGAGCTTTTAGGTGGATTTTGGACTGCTTGTGTTTTAAATGTTGAGATAGTTTTCCTCCTCTTCCTTTGAGGGGGAAGAGAGTCCCACTTGGTTGCTTGGGCATTTGACGGCGAAGGCAGGGAATTACTTCTTGTGTTTGGAAAGGAAGCTGCGGGAAGGGTTTTAATTCTTGATGTTGAAAAACAAGGCACTAAGGCAAAGGGCAGATCTGTCCATCTCTGTTTTCTAGTTCAGTTTTGTTTTTGCATCACTGGGCAAGTTGAAATGGCTTTTGTTGGGCGATTTTGGTTATTTTTGGTGTATTTTGGGGGGGGGGTTGGTTTTTTTTGCATTTTAACTTTGTGAGCTGCTCAGAGCCACACAGGCGAGATGGGTGGCTGTATAAATTGAACACACACACAAATAAAGAAATTCTCTCTTCGGTTTGTTTCCTGTGTCGGTGCTATTATGGGAATACTAATGCTGGAACTCACGGCTGCCTATTGAAATCAGCAGGATGTAACTTGGAATTGGCGTGCTTAATTTATTACTGGATTTTAAAAAAAGATGTAGCTCTAACGAGGGACGCATCTAATATTGGCATCTCTTTGCTACAGTGTGGGAATCTGGCATCTGTCCCTTGTTTGCAGAATGGCTTGCACTGATGTGAGAATCAAAGATTCCCAACTCACCAGTTTCAGCCCTATTAGTTATTGACATTTTTGGCATTCCTGTCCTGGGAAACCAGATCCCAACGTATCTTCTAGATCTTCTCCCTAGTGTTCCAGACAACAGCCTCAGATCCTGGCCTGTTTCTGGGTGTCATTTCAGATGCTAATACTTGTCTTTTAAAATTCCTTCCTTTTGGGAGTCCTTGAAAGATCGTACAGCTCTGCACAGTTCCATACGGGAGCCTAGAATGATGGTTTGTAGCTTATTAGCCAAGCGTTGGCTAAAAAGGTGCAGAGATCCTAGGTTCGTTTAACGCATCTAGCGTTAAAATGATCAGGTAGGAAATGATGGTGGAAGAAGTCTCGATTTCTAATCAGTTTCTGCAAAATCTGTCTGGCAACTATAACGGTGCTGTGTTCCTTGTCTCCTCAGGCCAAGCATGTCCGGCCTCCATCTCATGAAACAAGGCCGAGATAGGAAGAAGGTGGATCTCCAGAGAGATTTCACAGTTGCATCTCCAGCAGAATTTGTCACCCGTTTTGGAGGGAACAAAGTTATTGAGAAGGTGAATAGTGACTTCTCTCTCTCTCTCTCACTCCAAACTGGGTTCCAGTTTCCCATGACTTTCAAAATTTATAGCAGTTCGTGGTTCAATCATGGTCAACGGTGAAATAAACATACAGCTGCGAAAGGTCTTGGCCCAATATATGGGATCATAATGGTAGAAAATCAATTTTAAAATGTGTGAATGTAGGGCACTAGTTCAGACATCAGTTATATTTATGCATCATTTATTTATATTTATATTTATATTTATATTTATATTTATATTTATATTTAAATTTCTCCCCCGCCCATCTCCCCCCAATGGGGGACTCTGGGCGACTCATACAAAATATTAAAACCATAAATACATAATTCTCTGTTGCAGGAAGGACAAGGTTTCTTATTCTGTTTGACACTGGATCTTTTCCTTAACCTGGTTTCACAGTGGGTTACATTATTGTCCACCTAGTCAGAATTTTTTTCCTAAATCTTTATGTTTTTATTTTATTTTTCCTAAATAAAATCATGCTGAACTATCATGTTGTTTCTTTGGTTTTGGCTTAACACAATGTGCGAGCCCAGCTTTTTGGCTTACCTTGAATGTATGAAAGAGGACATTATGAGTTGTCCAACAAACTATGGTTAGCGTACAATGTAAACTCAGCCATTGTGAAGTATATAGCTCTTGAGGACATAAAAGCAGGAGAGAAGATTTGCTTTATACATGTAAGAAAAAAAAATCTTTGATATTTCCTTCAATTAGCAGGGTTGCTACCTGGATTTTGGGGAGATACTTGCAGTCAGAGAGAAATTACCAGTTCAAAACAGGAAAAAAATTCTGACTGGGTGGACAATAATGTAACCTGCTGTGAAACCAGGTTAAGGAAAAGATCCTGGGTCAGACAGAATAAGAGAATTCTGCAACAGAGAATTAGCACTATCCAATATGCATGTAATAGTCATGGAGACCATGACATAGGGATTTCTACGTAGAGTTGATTCATCTCAGAGTTCTGGTTAGTCTTAGGTGAGAATGTGGATGTCTCGTGGTGGCTTCCATCTTACGTTGGCTCTTTCTATCCATTAATCCAGGCAATGTGGAGATACATCTGAATAAGCTGTGTTGTCCAGATAGTTAGTTCCCAATTTGATTGGTGATTGTAAATCTGAACCATTTTATCGCTTCCCCCTCACGTTTCTTCCCTATCTAGGTTCTCATTGCCAATAATGGAATAGCAGCAGTAAAATGCATGAGGTCCATCCGACGTTGGTCTTACGAGATGTTCCGGAACGAGCGAGCCATTCGTTTCGTGGTTATGGTGACGCCTGAAGACTTGAAAGCCAACGCAGGTGAGATTATGCTTTTCAGAGCTTCTTCTGGAAAAATGATAAATTACTTGTGTCCTACTCCAGAAAGTAAAGGCTTGAAGCAAATAAAGCCCTTTCTTATGAGGAAGGTGGAGAAGAAAATGTTGAAAAAGTAAGGAGAACAGGGAGTTGAAGTGGGAAGTCAAAAATACATATCGTAAAGAGGCAATGACAAAGGAAATGAAAGGAGAACAATCAGTACGGAATAAAAGAACAGAACAACAACAACAAAAAGACAGTGATGGCCAGGGGAGTCCATGGGGGTGGGGTGGGGTGGGGTGGGGTGGGGTCAGAAAATGGCAGCAGCAACTCACAGTGGAAGCCCTGCTTTTTTATGAGTATTCCCAGTATGCAGGTTGGTTTATCTGCAGGTGGCACATTTTTCATGGTATTTTGGTTAAAATTTGGAGGGTCAGCTTATCCACGGATGGGCTTATATGCGAATATATACGGTAATAAGAAAAAGAAAAAAAGGAAGCATCTGGGATATTTGAATGCTCTTTATTCTGTAGTCACTTATCTCTCTATATCAGTGTC